AAGAACAAAACAACAGCAACTTCTCTGTTCCCCTTCCCCCAATTCCCCAGCACTGTTCCCATCCCCCCAATTCCCCAATAAAAAATCTTAAAAAAAAAAGAAGGGGGAGGGAATGCCTGAGTTGGTCTGGAGGACTCAGAAAGGCACACAGGGTAGAGGGCATCTGAGATGAGACTGCAAGGGGAAGTGGAAATTTGCCAGGTGGACAAATGCTGGGGGAATGTTCCAAGCAGAAGGAACAGCTTCCAGTCATTCATTTCAGTCAACAAATAGGTACTGAGCACCTGCTGGATGCCAGGGACCAGACAGAGCATCCAGGAAACAGTGACTCCGCTGTTCTCACAAGGAACCGTATGCACTGCATTTCCTAGATCTTAAGGGACAATTGGTTATAAGATGCACCACCAATTTAACAACAGTTACAATCAGGAATGTACATTCAAGGAGAGATTTATTGGCATAGAACACTATTTCAGACAAGGCGGGGAGCAACTGTTCCCCAGGAAAACCTGAACCAGGGCTCCAAGGTCCAGCCCTCTCTCCCAGGTACTGCTCCCTCACACCCTCACTTCACCCTCTCAGACAACTTCTTCCTGAGCCCCAATGGCCACCAGCGATGCTCAGACTCCCGTCCTCCAAATTCCACCACCAGCTCTAATTCCAATTCTGATTTGCTCAGTTTCCATCCTAGGCCCATGGCCAATCACTGTGTCCACGGTCTGGATACTATTTTAGGGTGCACCACTAGACTCCCATAGTTTGAGCAGGGAGAGGAGTTTCCCTTGAAAAAGCGGTGGAGGTTGCCAGGCAGAAAACAACAGATGTCCACCGCATGCACTTTTGGAGAAAAAGACACTGCTACATTAAAAGAGCAAATCAATTGTCAGATATATCCCAATTTCAGAAATGTTAAAATATGGAGGGAAGTATGTGCATCTTAGAACCAAGGAAACCCAGCAGGGCAAGGCTGTTGAGGCGTCAGAGAGTGGAAGCGTGCCAGAGGGAAGGTTGGAGAGGGAGGTGAAATCATATCTGCAAGACCTTGAACACGGAGTTGAGGGGCTCTGTAGCCTGCTGGGGGTTCCCTGCAATCTGCAGGCAAAAGCGCTGGGGAGGAGAGGGGGAGAGGTGTGAGTCTAGCTGAGGCAGAGAGCATGTCTCTTTTCAAGAGTTGAGGGTGCTGCCAGAATCAAAGGAATATGCAGGTTTGAGAGCTGAGTTGGAAACTGAGGCCATGCATCATAAAGGGGCTCTGAATAGTCTGCAAAAAGCAGAGGAAGGTCTGAAATGAGGATTAAGAGCTAGAGGAAGAGACAGAGACTTGAAAATCCAGAGGAAAAGCTTTTTTTGTGCCAGCTCTCTCTCTGGCCCTTGAGCTCTCTTGCCCTTGCTCTCTCCGCCTCTCTCTCTCTCTGTCTCCCCCCCCCACACCCCCCTTGGCTGGGCCCATTCTCTTTCCTGAGAACGTATCACTAATACTGGGAACCTAGACTTCTCTCTCCCTCTCTCCCTCTCCTCCTCCTTGGCTAGGCCCCTTCTCTTCCCTGAGAATGTATCACTAATAAACCCTGCTTGCAAATTAAAACAAAAAAAAATCCAGGGGGGGGAAAACCACAGATAATGATGGATTGGGTTGGGGAAAGCTTGTTAGGTAGCGAGCTTATCCTGGAAAAATACCTGAGCCAGGGCCCATGCTCCCTGTTGAGTTACGTGTGGGACAGGGCCAGAGGTGGAGTGTGTAACAGCACAGTGGCAGTAGGGGTTTTGCAAGACAAAATTTTAGAAGTAAAATTGACAAGCTAGCTAACTGCATGTTGATAGTTAAAGCCAGAAGCTTAGGTGAAACCTCTGAGCAAGAAAGTATACTGACAGAATGAAGACCAAGGGTACAGCAGTGGTTTTCTTTAGCGGAAGGGAAAAAGAAGCTGAACCAGAGACAGAGAAGAAACCAGAGAAGCAAGAGATAACCTGGAAGTCAAGGGTGGACAATGTGGTCAGGACAGCAGAGCTCAGAGACGGTTCCTGAGTGAAGGCCACCAGGCTTGACAATGACATAAGGGAGAAGATACCCGCTGGGGTGGAGAAAAGGGCCTCCCTGCAGGAGTAGGGGCATGGCGACTGCTGCAGGGCTCTATCGTTTTTAAAAGTTGGAATGGAGAAAGAAAGATGAAAAGGGAAAGGATGGTAAGGGAAGAGAGGGGGCTTCCATCTTTGGGTTATAGAAACTATCTCTATGGTTTATTGTATGTTCCCTAAGTACAACAGAAGCCCCGTGACAGCAGTGACAATGAATTAAGGGCATCTTGCATTCTGTTCTATCCCCAGGGTCTGGAATAGTACCTGGCATGTCAATGAATTAAATCAAATTTGCTCAATGAAACTGTTGACCATGATGCAGGGTGGAGACACCTGAGGGCGTGTATGAGAAGTGTGGGGGGCCCTCATGGTGGATACACGGGGGATTGTCCTGCCTCTCCCACCCAGTGTCCAACAGTAGATGCCACCTCCTGGATCTAGGATGAAATCTCCCATTCTTCCCCCATTCCTGTAAGGTAGCCAGCCGGCCCTAGGTTCTGACGCTGCCAGCATACCTTCTTCACTCGAAGGGCTGTAATCACATGGCTTTCATCATACTCCTGTTTGGAACGCACATCTGAAAAGGAAAAGGATTTATAATAAATAACTGCATTTGCAAAACAGTACATGACCAAACTACTTAGAGAACTTACAACATCATCATCTACTTGTTTGGCAGATAGGTGATAGCTACTATTGGTTTAAAACTCAAGGTGTAATTCCACTACTCAGAGTTGCCCACACCACGCCCCCTGCCCCATCACGCCCACACCCACACATCCTCCTAAGGGGTAGTTAGATTTTGTGTCTTCGATTTAGGGGGAGATTTCTCTGAGGCACAAAAGAGCGAGGAGGGGGGAAATCAAAGCAAGGGAGAGCTCATATTAAATGCCGCCATGGAATTTTAGACCTAAATTCAGATTCTAGAACCCAGGAGCTGACGTTCTAACGCCCCTTCAAGGACAGAAGGTGTGTTATTGATGGTCCTCAAAGTTGGGAAGAACATAGAACAGAAATTGAGCCTCATTCATAAATACTAAAAAACACTGTTATCTAAAATATACCGAGTTTCTAAAATTCAACAAGAAAACAAACAACCCAATTAAAAACTGGGCAAAAGATAGGAACAGACACCTTACCAAAGAAGATAAACAGATGGCAAATAAGCATATGAAAAGATGTTCAACATCATATGCCATCTGGGAATGGGAAATTANTAAAAACCTCCTGGGAAGACTGGTTTTATTAAATGTGGATGCCTAGTGCCACCCGGTGACCATTGCTATGAATGTCCCAGCCCATGGAATCACCACACATACCAGTGACTTAACCACAAACGGCGTTGCCCCCATGCCAATGGCCAGGGATGGTCAGCCCAAAGAAGGGGCTGCATGGAGAAAGCTGTGGAGCTTCCATAAAGCAGATTAGAACCAACCACATTTCCATGCTCCGGCTTGGAGCTGGAGTGACTTTGCATTGTTCTCTAACATCACTGCCTAGGCCTCAAAACAGTGGACAGAGCCAAACTGCCTGGGCTCGGATACTGGCCCCACCACTTACTAGGCATGATGATTCTTAAAAAGTCTAAAAACTCTTTCAAATGCCTCTCAGATTTAAAAGGTTGAGTCTAATTCCCCTCCCCTTGAGGGTAGAATGTACTCAGTGACTTCCTTTTATGAATAGAATGTGGCAGAAGTAACTGTATAAGCCCCAAAACTAGGTCATAAAAGGTATGTGCCTTTCCATTTCTCTCCCTCTCTCTTAGATCACTGGCTCTGGGGGAAACCAGCTGCCGTGCGATGAAGCCATGCAAGCAGTCCTATGGAGAGGTCTGTGTCGCAAGGAACTGAGGTTGCCAATGGCTAGAATGAAACAGGCCTCCTGTCTATAGCCATGTGAGTGAGTCATCTCAGATACATATCGTTCTTGCCCAGTCAGACTTTCAGAGGACAGCAGCCCTGGCTGACATCTTGACTACAACCTCAGGACAGACACTATACCAGAACTTTCCAGCTGAGCTTCCCTTGAATTCTGGACCCACAGAAACTATGAGATAATTAATGTCTGTTATTTAAGCTACTGAGTTTGGGGGTAATTTGCTACGTGGCAATAGGTAACTGATCCACTAGGAGTGGGTGGAACCTTGAGCAAGTTACTTTGCCTTTCTGGGCCCCAATTTTCCCATCTATAAAATGGGGATATTACGTATTAGGAGATAATTCTCCATGGCCTCTCACATNTACATTGAGTATTACAATTTTAATACAGTTTTCCTTTCTTAAAATGTGTATACATTTTTTGGCACCCTCTGTATATTCTGTGTGTGTCTCTGTGTGTGTCTGTGTGTGCGTGCGTGTGTGTGTGTGCGTGTGTGTGTAGTGTTGTGTGCCACATGTTGTACACCATACAATTTACCTATGTAGTATATTCACAGAGTTGTATAACTATCATCACAATCAATTTTAGAACATTTTCATCACCCCCCAAAAAAACCCTGTACCAGTTACAGGGTTTCACTCCTCATTTCCCCCACAAACACCCAGCTCTAAGCAATCACTAATTTAATTTTCTCTCTATGAATTTACCTACTCTGAATATTTCATATAAATGGAATCATACATAATGTGGCGTTTGTGTCTGATTTCTTTCACTGAGCATAATGTTTTCAAAGTTCATCTATGTTGCAGCATATGTCAGAACCAGTTCCTTTTTATGGCTGAATAACATTCTATTGTGTAGATATAGCACCTTCTGTTTATCCATTCATCTGTTGATGGACATTTGTGTTGTTTCCATTTTTTGGCTATTATAAATAATGCTGCTGTGAACACCCATGTGCAAGGTTTTTTGTGCAAAGTTTCATTTCTCTTGGGTACATACCGACGAGTGACTTTGCTGGACCATATAATAATAGCTCTACATTTAACTTTTGAGGAAAACACCAAATTGTTTTCCACAGTGGCTGCACCATTTTACATTCTGACCAGCGGCATTCGAGTGTTCCAATATCTCTACATGCTTGTCAACACTTCTTACTATCTGTCTTTTTTATTATGGCCATCCTAGTGGGTGTGAAGTGATATCACATGGTTTTGACATCAATTTAATCTAAAATGCCTTCATTGATCTGTAGAATTTCTATTAGACTGTATGCAACTTAGATATACAATAGAAAGTTTGCATAACGAAGGCTATGCCAAGATATCCTGAGGCCAGGACCTGACCTGTAAAGAGAAATACTGTGCAACAGACTGGAAAGCTAGCTAAAAGGAGAAGGGGAAGGCCATGTATGAACTTGTCTAGGGAGAGAGGTCCAATTCCAACAGGGGCTGCTAAGGACGTAAGTGGCCTGAGACCTGTCTGGAGAAACGGTATTTGGAGGAATGGCCTGCAGAATGGCCAAGCCAGGAGAGAGCCTGTAACTGGCAAGACAGGAGCCAAAAACCACCCCTGAGGGCCTGGCTTGGAAGCCAGAGAGCTTTGGGTGTCCCAGGGTTTCACAGCTCCATTTCTCTCTTAAGCAAGAGATTGATTATGACTGGGTGGGTCAGAGGCTCAAGCGAGTGAGCGAGGGAGTCCCAGACCACAGTGCTACTGCCTTCAAACCATACAGCTGCTCCCCTATCAATGTTACATGACCCACTCACTGGATGCTTATTCACAAGCAGGGGCAATGGGGTCAGAGCTGGAGGAAGGCCAGTTACCAGGGAACAATTAGAGACTCAGACGGAAAGCCATGAAAACGTCTCAGGGCCCAAGTTATCCAGCCAAGGATGTAATAGTATTAATATTTTGGAAACATTAAATTCATTCATTTCTATTTCCATTAATCCTGAGTTCTTAGTTGACATGAGATTTCTCACACTTTGAACTGGGGAGGGGAGTGACCATCTCTCAGCCTGAACTTTAAGTTAAATTATTTGAGGTCCTTAACCATCAATTGTTTTGAAAGTCAGGCTTAGTTGAGGGAGGAGAAAAGGAACTCCAGTATTTTCAAAGCCTCCCTTCACAGCTGGTGTGAATGTCCCAGCCCAGGGAACTCCACTACACATCACAAGCATGGGGGTCTATAATCCAGGTATTGTAAGGAAGGATGATGTAACATAAGGGAAACGCAAGAATGGGGCTGCCCTCTGCACGCTATAAGGAGCTTGGAGAGAGGGTCCCAGAGGTCAAGGCAAGGGGAGGTACTTCCTGGGTCCCTAAGAAGACACGCAGCTGAGAGGATAGAAGCATACTGGCTGGGGGCGGGAGAGCGGACTACAAACAGCTTGTGTCCCATTTCCCACTAGGATCCTGAGACCCCCACAGCAGAGGTGGGGAGTGATTAACCTAATGCTGGAAACCAGGGAAGCCAGAGCAGGCCCAGGGACCAGGTAAGAGGGCACAGGGCTGAGTCCCCCAGGAGCCATCACTGCATACTGCCAGGGTGGAGGGGACCTCTCAGGACTTACACTAGACATGGACATTTGGCCACAGGCACAGCAAAGACAGAGGCCCATGGCCAAAGGCCACATAGGCTGAGCTGCACCTCACCCAGAGGCCAGCAGAGACTGATACCTGCTTCTAGGATGTGATGAAGGCTCTCCCCAGGCCCAGATCTCCTTGGGGGTCAGGGAGGTGGGAGCTTACCAGTGGAAAGGAGAAGGGGGTGGTGAGAGAAACCTTGAAATGGTCTTTTACAAAAGACTCTGCATTTACCTGAAAGATGCCACTTCAAAGGAGAAAAAGCCTCCTTGAGTGGGCAAGGTGTGTGCATGTCTGTGGTTTTAATTTTTGTTGTGTTGTTTTGTGATTGTGGTTTCCTACCCAGTGAGAATGGG